TTCCCATGCCGGAGTGAATTAGATCTTAAGCATCTTATTTTGTGACACATGCTTATCGCTATGAAAGCATTTGACTGTGTGGAGAGCATTGCTATACACGGTTTAGCCTAAAACATTGTAGCATTGTTTGTTTTCAATGGGCGATCTGTTTTTTTATGTCATCATACAATTATATTATACATTTGTTGGTATTATACCAACAATAGAGCTCTTTGGCAATGTCCTGGGAAAACAACTGAGCTTCTTATGGACAAGTCTGTTCTGTAGCCTAGTACAAAGCTTTGTGCAAGGTGCCAGACGGTGAGTGGAGACCATCAGTCCCATCTTATCCAGCTACACCTTTGTATTTCCACACGGCCGATCAGAGGGAGGCGGCAAGAAGATTGATGAAGACGATGAATTCTGGGGCTCCTGCTTCTGTCTGTGTTAAGAAAGGTGGGGGCTCGGCAGCTTTCTTCTTCAGAAACCTTTCCTGCCTCTTCTTCTACGCTGCAACCTTTGACACCGGCCGTCTGTTGGTAGCTGTCATCGACTTTGACAGTTTGATTGATGTCTCTGGCCACAGAAGTGTTTCAGTGCCAGACACTGCACACAAACACTTACAAACAAGTGTACAAATATACGCAAACACATGGGCTAAGTAGATGCAGCGATACACAGATGTGCATCAAACGTGAACAGAAAATAGCTTGTCTGACAAAACCACAGAAGCAATAATAAAGTGCCAGATTGAGAAGAACCCTGTGTCTGCATTGTATTTCCTTTTTCTTCTCTGGGATTATTAACCTCATGTCTGCTGATCAGTCTTGCAGGACTTGGCGTCTTCAGGCATTCATTTGACACAGGAAGATTGCATAGCTTTGGATCCTTTTAAATACATACTGATAATCTTGAATTATCTGTACATACATATTGGCAGCTAATCCTCTTTTTTTGCAATTGCTAACCCAACTTCTTGGTTCAGTGCACTAGTAGCGGTGTTATCTGCCTTTGCTGTCGGCAGTATGATCCACTATCCCTGCCAGCTTTTCTGTTCACAGTATGTGTTCCAAACTTAGGATATACACAGAAGAATATGTGGGAGTAGGGCATAAAACGATTTATCAGTGGTTAGATTATTTTCTAGCTACTGGCGTTGTTAAATCGGGACATGTCACACACATGAACGTCTTTTGTATATGTAACCTAACAGGGAAGCACAGTGGACAAGTGGTTGGCACTTCCACCTGCCAGCAGTAGGGTCATCAGTTCCAGTCCGAACCACAGCACTACCTGTCTGGAGTTTGCATGTTTTCCCTGTGTCTGCGTGAGTTTCCTCCAGGTACTCCGATTTCCTTCCACACTCCAGGTTAATTGGCTCCTGTCTAAATTGGCCCCAGCATGTGTATGTATGAATGTGAGTTAGGGACCTTAGATTGTAAGCTCCTTAAGGGCAGGAACTGATGTGTGCAATATATATATGTAAAGCACTGAGTAAATTGACGGTGCTATATAAGTACCTGAAATAAATAAACTTAACCTCAGCAAAGATTTTATTTCTTTAAAACCTTCACAACTCCATGTTTGTGGCTGGTCCCTTGCCAATGGGAAGTTAGGTGTAGGTAGACTGGGTTGTGTCCGTGAACGCCCTCCCTCTGGCAGATTTTTCTTTTGTGGTTTGGTAGTGTCCCTTCATAACCCTTTGAAGCCTAATTTGTAGACAATGAATAGGTCTTTATATGTCAGACACACCACACCCGAGGCTTTTATATTGGTCATACTGTAGATGTCTGCGGTCCTGTAAAGCTGCTACCATTGTCACGCACTATGCAGAATTTCAGTTCGGATGCTAGGAACCTGGATGTTCATTAATCTATCATGTTTTATCACATGATCCCTCCCTTTGTGCTCCCACAGTAGAAACAAGGGCAGATGCAGAATATTCCACTATCCCAGGAACTGAAGAGTTAAAAGATGAGAAAAAGGCTGCAATAGATGGAATCGAACTATTCATGTGTAAAAGCCGCTGTTCCCGTGTCTCACCAGTGAATGGAGAACACTGTGTAATTTCTTTTTAATTAGCTGTATGTAAAAGGTCACTGGATTTCCCAGCATGTCCCTGTCACCATTGTGACATAGAGTTACCTGCCATCAGACCCATTTACACCCTATCGTGTCGCCTCTGAACACAGAGATGTTTCTCGGTGCGACTCTCATGTAAATATAAGAGGTGCCCTTTTGCAGACGGAGCCATTTCATGTCACATCAGACAGAACAGCTGTTATATTCACTGCCCGAAAATATATTGCAATAATAAGTATACAGAGTGTTTTCTGGAACATTTCAAGCAATGTTGCCAGAGGGATCTCCACTGGTTTGGAAAAACATCACTCCCCATTTGATCCTTGACCACTTTTGTGTGATTCTTATTGTTTTCTTTGTGCTTTGTTGATTTTCAGCTGGATTTTTCCTAGTAAAGTCTTTATTTCCAGTAGAGTTTCCTTCTATGTCTATACAGTGAGCTGGAGCAGATTTGTGAAGATGAATTACCCCACACTGCACCTAAAGTGATTGTAAAGCTTTGGGGGTTTTTTTTTGTTTTTTTTTCAATTATTAAAATAATAAACACGTCATACGCACCTGTTCTGTGTAATGGTTTTGCATAGAGCATCACTGATCCTCCTCCTCTTAGGTCTCTCACCAGCACTTCTGGTTCCTCCTCTTCAGTGTCTCCATAGGAAACCACGTCCTATGGGGGCACTCATGCGGGCTCCCTCCTGAGCCCTGCTGCCTGCATCCGTAGGCACAGACAGGCATGGCCCCGGCTCTCTCGTCGCAGAGATTAACAGCTGTTATCAATCTGCCCTGTGAAGAGGGACAGATCCTGGAGAGCTTCTGCTCTCATGCACAGCGTTACATTGTGCTGGGCTGGGCTCAGGGGGGTGCTGGGAGGGGGATCCTAGGCACAGAAAGTTATTTTGCCTTTTTTAATCATTGTTTCTCACATGTTGCATTTGGAAAATGGGAATGGTTGCTATGAGCAACACAGAGGGGAAGTTTTACTAAAACTGGTGAACTCATAATCTGGTGCAGATGTGCATAGTAACCAATCAGCTTTTAACTTCAGCTTGTTCAATTAAGCTTTGGCATTAAAACCTGGAAGCTGATTGCACCAGGCTCCATGTGTACCAGTTTTAGTTAATCCCCCCTGACAGTTCTTGTTTCAGGGTTCTGTCTGTGCAAACATTAGAGTTTCTACATAAATAAAATGTCAAATGCTAAATCTTGCAAGGGTTAAGTAAAGGGACAGCATGTCAAACTTGTAATTTACCCATGGTGGTAAATATGGAGCAATAGATTTTACTATGTGATAAATACATTCTAGATAAGGATTTCTTTGTCTTTGAACTGCATGTTGGCAGTTGTCTCCCCTTACAAATACAACTGTCTAGACAAGCCATTCTCAACCAAGGTTCCTTCAGAGGTTGCTAGGGGTTCATTGACCACCTATTTGATGGTTCTTGGCATAGTTCCAGGGTTAACACCAGCGGCATGACACCAGTGACCTTTTCAGCTGTCTACAAGGGTGGCATTCTGACCACCACTGTAAAGGAATCATTCTCCCTATTGGCCACCAGTGAAAGGAGAATTTTTAACAGTGGACTCACCTTGGGTAAAAAGGTTGACAAAGGCTTGTAAAACCATCCCCGCTGTTCTAGATAAGCCAGCAATTGCAAGATATTTTCTCCAGCATAAAAGGGGTGCCAGTCTGGTTACCACTAAAGCATACATAAAGGAGAGTCCAGTCAGCTGCACTGGCTTCAAGTGTTGCTAAACCCAGCATTCACTATATCTGGTCTTGCACAGTACACAAAACATGGGAATGCAATTATTTTAGAAAATATAAACTGCTAAATACCTTTTCTCATCAGCATCTCCTCTGTCCTATGAGGCTTCCTGACCCCTGACCCTCTGTCTGGACAGTGCTCTAGCAATACACACTAAACTGAGCATATGCAGAGTAACTCGTTGAGCTCTGTGCTATCAGCAGATGGATTGGGGATAGTATTAGAAGGAGAGGCTCAGAGAAGACAGGATCAAACAGCCTTTTCACACAATTCAGAGGATTAACCCCTTAGTTTCCACAGTGAATATAACAAGCATGCTTTACTGCATATACAGGCTGATTTTACTGTTGTGGGTTTAGTAACACTTTAAGCTTAGATGCAATCTCTTTATTAAATAAAAAAAAAGTCCATAAAAAACGTACAAGTGTAGAATTGCACACACAGGGGAGAGAGGTTAACAAGTTTCACACTTGCTGTGCTGTACTTTGTACAAGTGTGAAACGCATTAAGCTCTCTTTCTCTCTGTGTGTGCATTTGTATACTTGTGTGGTTTTCCTGGACTTTTTTGATTTAATAAAGAGATTGCACCTAAGCTTAAGGGAGTTCAGCTGACCAGACTGTTCTTTATGTTGAGAAAGGCTGGAGTAAATCTAATATTCAAGGCAGATCAAAAACATTATGTATCTCACTTTTAGTCTGGGAATTAGATAGAACCATTCAAAGTGAACTTCTGGCAAGCAAATTAATACAAAAATGTGACTTTTAAACCAGCTTTGTGATCCTGGCACCTCTGGTAGAAAACTCAGCCAGGATCTGGACCTCCACTGCTGGTATGGTCAAAAACACACACCCTGGCTGCTGGACATTGAAAGCATGCTGTTGTGATTCTCATTGCTGTGATCATTCTGCTCTCTCTTCTTTCCTAGTGCTTGGATGGACATCATCTAAGTTCTCTATAGGATTACAATTGAAGATTACTTGTTTGTGCAAGGCTGACTTGTTTTCAGAAAGAAAATCAGAAGCACAGAAGAGATCAACCTACATGTTTAAGTACTCAAGAGTTTAGGTCATTCATAAAATGAAGCAACCACAGGTTGTGGGACAGCCAGATGCACTCTTTATCTGCTTCCCGTCCGCCCTATAGCAGAAATACTGCTACAGGGTGGCACAGGTGCGCAAAATCACTTGCAGCCTTGGCTGTCAATCACCGGGTCCTGGGCACTGATTACTCGCCAGCACTCGGTGCTTGCCGAGTATTACCAACGGGGGAGAGAACAGTATGTAAACAATACAGTTCTCTCCCCTGTCAGCTCCTGCACACTGCTTTGTATGGCTCTGCATAGCAGAATCATACAAAACAGTGTTCTTACAGTAGAAAGCACACACAGCACATAATGTGAAACAGCACAGTTAACTCTTTGATTGCCCCACATGTTAACCCCTTCCTGCCCAGTGCCATTAGTACAGTATCAGTGCTTTTTATTAGTACTGATCATTGTATTGGTGTCACTGGGGATGTCAATGACACCAAGTCAGTTCCCCCCAGTGTCAGAATGCTCCCCGCAATCCCGCAATTAGTCGCTGGTCGCCGCCATTACTAGTAAAAAAAAAAAAAAAAATCCCAGTATATATACCACGATTTGTAAACGCTATAACTTTCATGTAAAACCAATTAATTTACACATATTAGGATTTTTTTTTGTAGCAAAGACATGTAGCAGAATACATTTTGGCATAAATTTATGACGAAATTTGATTTTTAAATGTTTCTACTGAACATGTTTAATAGCAAAAAGTCAAAAAAGTAGTTTTTTGTTCTCAAAATTGTCGGTATTTTTTGTATATAGCACAAAAAATTAAAAACGCAGAGACGATCAAATACCACCAAAAGAAACCTCTATTTGTGGGGAAAAAGGACGTAAATTTCATTTGGGTGCAGCGTTGCATGACCACGCAATTGTCAGTTAAAGTAGCGCAGCACCGTAACACACAAAAAGATGGCCTGGTGAGGAAGGGGGGCAAATCCTCACGAAAGCAAGTGGTTAAAGAGTCAGTCCACCCAAATCATTTTTTTTTTTTTTTTTTCCAGGTAACAGCACAGTTAACCCTTTGATTGCCCCACATGCATAGCACCGTCAATTTACGTAGCACTAGAATGTTAAATCACTTGATTGACAATTTATTTTCTCTTGCAAACTCTTGATCAGGTCTTGGTGTTTCCAGAGTCCTCACACCTGTTGAAGCCGTTATGAGGGACCATGCTGTTTGATTAGATTTTTTGGGCTTTATGAAGAATGCAGTAGGGGGAGTTGAAACACAGCCTGTTGGCTTTGGTATCCTAAACTCCGATGTGGACAGGAACAGAATGAAAAAAAAATCATAGCGGAATCTCACAGTTAGGGCTCGTTCACACTTGGCTGTTTTACCAACGCTTGCCAAACGCCCCTATAGCGTTTGGCAAGCGTTAGTCCGGCGTTTGCGGAGCGTTTTTTAACGCTCGGCAAACGCCGCATGCGCGGTTTATCGGCGGTTGCTAGGCGTTTGCCGAGTGTTAATAATGCCCCACAAATGCCTATAATGCAGTTTGAGTGGTGTTACCGCTCCGCAAACGCCCCGCAACCGTGTCGCAACTGCACCACAAACGCCGGCCGGGCGTTTGCGGAGCGGCACCATAGACGAGAATAGGAGGCTTCAACGCCTCCTGACTCAACCAGAGGCGTCCATTTTCCCGTGACGCAAACGCTAACGCTCCCGTTAGAACAGCACCATGTGCTGTAATGTGCAGAATTGGCAGTCGTGTGCAGTGTGAACGTAGCCTTAAAGTATCCCAGTCACATAAGAAACCAAGTACTAATTTAGCCCAGTAGATTCCACCTGATCCTAAAATATAACTTTGGGGTCAGCTAATCCTTCAATATTAAACAATATGATGTCAAGCTGTTCAGAGACAATAATGAAGCGGACCAGCACCAGTGAAATGCAGCATATTATCCCTTCTATTTTCATCTTGTGATCTGGCCAATAACCCACCTCTCTGGATGAAGGAGCAACAGAGACACCTTTTTCAGTCCAGGGAGAGGGAAGTGTTAGATGGTGTAGCAGATTTAAATACACTAACAAATTGAAGCCAAACTCCAGCTAACACTTTATAAACAGTTACATCAACAGCTTGACAGCTGTAACTGATCAACAGCCTGTCAATAATAAATGGTTTGTCTCAACCCTGTAACTGCTACATCTGCAGAACAGCTTGTTCTGGTGAAAAACAACAGACCTACTGGTCAGATCAGCAGATGAAAATAAAGAAAAGAAAACCAAAAAAGAAAACAAATGCAGCCACCACATCTAAAAAAAATGGTAAGCTGCAGTAGAATACATGGTTGCTTTTTGATTTAATACTTCAATAATTATGCTTTTTATTACCCTATGACCTTATCTGGTTTGGTAAAGTTTGACTAGATGTCTAATAGATTTGGAAAGTCTCGATACACCTGCCTGTAGGAAGCCTAATGATGTGCCTTTAAGATGGGTGCAGCTAGGGACAGTCACAGACAATAGTGACAGGAAGCCTGGGACAAGACATAAGATAAGACTGATATGGACATGGTGCTTCTGCTGACCTATTTTAGGAACATCACCCTTTCCATCACACCCCTCCCTATTACTTGTCTCTCCCTGTTTTATCAGATAAATCTAGTCAAGTCTTGTTCATTTGCCAGTCTTTCCGTTTTCTCTCCTTTCCTCCCCTCTTCTATCTGCTCACACCCCGCAACTATCCATCACATCTGCTACCAGTAAACTTTTTGGACTGTCTGCAAGAAAAGTCTCAGCTCGTCCTATTAGAATAATGGGATATGTTAGCTGCCTTGACTCCTGACATACAAGATACGCCATATTGTGACTCTCAGTGTCACTCTGTCGCAACAGCTGATAGATCAGGCAGTGATTTTATATTTTGGCTAGTGATTTCATTGACTAAACTTTAAATTGTTGTGGAAAGCTGCAGAACACGCGGCACCTGTTGTCCTTTACTAAATGTAAATTTAGGGTTAATAGAAGTAAACTAGCCTATAGGAACACTGTGCATAAATAAATACTTTCTGTGATCATACATGACGTTTCATGATCACACAGGTTTCTCGAGATCCAACAAAACTTTTCCTAGAGTGTTGTGCTTTTTTCGCAGAGCTCCCAAGTAAGAAGACAAGGGCTTCCACAAAGGTCCTCCAAATCCTGAGGCCTCTTTCAATCTATGCATTGCTCTAAGACATATTTTTCCTTGTCTTGCGATGCTGAAATAGCTGCTCAGCGCAATCCCACCGCACATGGCATGAATAGCTGAACTCCAGGCAGACAACATTTTCAATAATCATCAATCCCTGCGGAACAGGCAGATGACAAGTCTGTGTCTTCTCAGCTTATGCAGAGCAGACATGGACACAGCCCACTATGCTGTATGGGCAGTCGAATGTAAACGGACCAGCTGTCCATTTACACTGGACTGCCCTCCTCCCCAATCCACCCAGAGGAGAACGAATCCTTTTCCATTTGTTTTTGACAGATCGGGTTGGAGATAGGCAGGTGTAAACAGACACAAGTCCATTTACATCCACCTCTCCATAGAGGAGAATAGAGGGTCCAATTGAAAAACAGGCAGGCGGACCGGATCAGGCCGCTTGTGTGAAAGGGGGCCCTAATCGTATAGTACATGACAAAGATCCTGGGTTATAGGCTGCTACCTTCAGGTGATAAAACATTGACAAAAGCTTGGCTGGGCACGCCCCCTGTGCATACTACTGTAACCCCAGTTCTCAGTTTTCTAGTGACCTTACGTGATGGACCTCCTCCTCCGCCAACCGCAGGTAGCCGAATGATGGCTACACTGCGGGGCACCGGCCAGTTTCTGGGAGGGCGTCATATGACGTCCTCCCAGAACGCGCTCTCCTGCGCGCCCCCTGGGGGCGCGCACCCAGCGATCTCCGTGATCGCTGTGTCCTATGGACACAGCTGATCACGTGATGTGGTAAAAGGCCAATCACAGCGGCCTTTTACCACGTGATCAGCCGTGTCCAATGACACGCGAGGAAAGTACTGCCGAGAGCCGGAAGTTGTCAGAGCAGGGATCAGCACTGATGATCAGTGCCCTGATGATCGGTGCCCAGCAGTGCCACCCACCAGTTCCCAGTTCCGCCCACCAGTGGTAAAAGGCCAGTGCCCAGCAGTGCACCCACCTGTGCCACAAGTGCCACCTACCTGTGCCCAGCAGTGCCACCCACCTGTGCCCACCCACCAGTGCCATCCACATGTGCCCATCAATGCAGTGCTGCCAGTTAGTGCCACCAGTCAGTGCCCAGCGGCTGTGCCAGTCAGTGCCCAGCAGTTGCGCCAGTCAATGCCTAGCAGTGCCGCTAGTCAGTGCCCAGCAGTGATGCCAGTCAGTGCCACCTATCAGTGCTGTCTATCAGTACCCATCATTAGTGCCGCCTATCCGTGACACCTCATTAGTGCCGCCTATCTGTGCCACCTCATTAATGCTGCCTATCAGTGCCGCCAATCAGTGCCCATCAGTGCTGCCTATCAGTGCCGCCTATCAGTGCCCATCAGTGCTGCCTCATCAACGCACATCACTGAAGGAGAAAAATTACCTGTTTGAAAAATGTTTTTGTTTATAGCGCAAATAGTAAAGCGCCCAGCAGCGATTAAGTACCACCAAAAGAAAGCTCTATTTGTGAGAAAAAAAATTATAAAAATTTCATATGGGTACAATCTTGCATGACCGCGCAATTGTCAATCAAAGTGCGACAGCGCTGAAAATTGGCCTGGTAAAGAAGGGGGTATAAGTGCCCGGTAGGCAAGTGGTTAAACTCCCAAATCAGTCTACCTCCTCCGATTTCCTCCCTCCCTCAGGAATGCGTTCAGTGTAGCTGTCTATATAATCCTCTTGCCAAATAAGGTATTGGCTTGTCCGTGGTAGGAAGATACCAGTTGATTTTGTGTAGAAAAAGAAGCTATGTTTTGGGTGTAGTCAGAGAAGTGAGGACTTTCTGCGTGCAACATCTCGCAGAGAAAGAGAAAAGAAGATCTCCCTGCCTTAATATCGAAACTAACAGTGGGAGATCAAAGCATCCTTTTGGTCATGAGACTTGAAGCTGCTTAAAACCAAGGCTGACTGGCAAGTAATTTAACCCTTTAAACTCCTTTGTTATCTGTTTGCTGTGCTGTTATGCTCTGTATGTATATATATATATATATATATATATGGGTTACATCTTCCTTCTGTAAATATTTTTACTGCACCCTTTCGACCTTTTGGTAATAAATCTTACTTTCTAAAAGTGTTGAACTGTTTCTATAGCTCCTGAATGTAACTTACGAATCCCTGCCGCTGGAGAACGCTACTATGAGTATTTAACCCTCTGTATAACCGGTCTGTAGAGATAGCGGGATACTGACGGTTAACCAATCATCCTAGTGTATTGCTGAGTTTCCTCTTTCTCTGTATAAAAAGGAGGTGGTGGCAGTGTGAAGGTTTAATTGCGTAATTAACCTGACCCAGTAACAATCGCATTCAGGCTGCCGGTACG